AGTCCTAAATGTATCTGTAGCTCCTGTAAGTCAGTATAAAAAAAGAAAATGGGCAGAGGCCAAAAAAAATCCACAGAAAGAAAATGAAAAAATATAAGGGGCTAATAAGTATTTGAAAGAAATATTCAATCTTATTTATCATAAAAGAAATGCAAAATAAAACCTTAATATATTTTACCAATTAAATAAGCAAAGATTAAGAAGTTTGATAATACATTATATCTAGGAAGGTGTGATTAAACCATCATTCTTATACCTTATGGAAGTATAAATTGATACAACATATATACATATAGGGCAATAGCAATATAGCATTTCCACTTTGGAAATTAATTCTGTGTATGTACTCATATATGGGGAATGTCATGTATACAAGGATACCCATTGTAGCATTGTTTGTAATAGCAAAAGGATAGAAATAATTCAAATGTCCATCAATAGAGAATTAGGAGATTAGATAAATGTATTATGGTGTATCCATAGAAGAACTTTACAGCTATTAGATTGGGGCAAATATGTATGCAGTGGTATGGAGCTATCTTTAATACACCATAATGGTAAAAAGCAGAGTGTAGAATAGGATGTAGAGTATATTCCACCCCCCTACTTGAAAGACAAAAAATAAGTGTTTGTGCATAGAAAAAATCTCAAAAATTATACCCAATAGATTGGTAATACTGGTTGCCATGCAGAGGGAAACAAGGAGATGGGATGGAAGGGTGACTTACTTTCACTCTATACCCATATGTAACTTTTAGGTACTGTACCTATTGTATTGCCTGGTCAAAATTTACTAATACTAAAATCAAATGAATCATGGTCCATATTGAAAAAAATTAATCTTAATTTTTATCTAGAATGTACAGGTGGCTGTTTAGTGGATGGCAGATCGAAATGTGAAAAGTAAAACTAAAGTCCTCGGAAGAAATAGATCTTCCATTACTTTGGAATAAGCACGATTTTTTTAAATAAGATGCAAAAAACATGTACCATAAAAGAAAAAATTGATAACTGGGCTATATTAGGATTCGAAACTCTTACTCATTAAAAACACCATTAGGAAAGTGAAAAGGCAAGCCACAGATTGGGAAGAAGATATTTGCGTTATGTGTATCTGATAAAGACTCAAAATTTGTTAAAACCTCTTGCAAACAGTAAGAAAAGGGCAGACAAAAGGGCAACAGAAAAATGACTTGAACAGGCATTCCACAAAGAGAATATTCAAATGACCAATAAACCTATAAAGAGGTGTTCGACTTTATTAGTCATCAGGGAAATGAAAATTAAGACTACAGTGCAGTACCACCCACACCCAGCAGAATGGCTTAAATAAAGAAAGACTACTTAGTTGTTGCCGAAGATACGGAGCAACCTGAACTCTCACATACTCAAGTTTGTGAAAGTAAATTGGTACAACCACTCTGGAAAATTGTTTGTCAGTATCTATTAAAGCTGAACCTATGATTTCCTTTGGCCCAGTAATTCCACTTCTAAGTAAACACCTGACATGATCATTTCATACAATGTTCATAAAAATTTCATTGGAAATACCCCAAACTGAAAACTACCCAAATGCCTGATAGAGTGGAAACAAAAATTGTGATATAGTCACACAATGGAATGTGTGTAATGTACCCACAGCAATGAGGGTAAATTATCTACAACTACAAAACAATATGGATGAAACTCACAATGCTGAACAAAAGAAGCCAGATACAAAAGAGTTCATCCTCTTAAGATTCCATTCATATTAGTTACAATAATAGACCAGACAGTTGTATTCTGTTTCATCAGAATAGCTGTTATTTTTGATGAGAGGGAGTAACTGGAAGAAGGGGACATGAGAAAGACCTCTGGGATGCTGGTGGTGTTCTTTTTCTTGATCCGGATACTGGATTCAATTTGTGAAAATTAATTGCATGCACTTAATGACTAGTATACTTTATTGTATGTATGTTATACCTAATAAAAAGTTTTTAAAAAGAATTGGATCAGAAGTTTTTCTAAAACTAGAGACAAAAGTAACACTTTTATATTTTATTATCAATCTTTTCTGGTCTTTTTTGATTGTATAATTAGCTGAAAAACTATTACTTGACTTTAAGGCCATTTACTTCCCCCTATTTGTGCAAAATGAATAAGGGTTTCTCTACTCTTCCCCCTCCTTTTGTGGTGCATTTCAGGCTATTAAGAAAGGAGTTTTTAGTTTCTTTCTTTCTTTTTTTTTTTCCTGTAGATGTGTAATGGCTCTCAACTAAAGATTGAGGCCAAGTAGAAAGAGGAGGAAGGCTTACTTTAACTCTTTTACTCACATACCCCTCAAAAGAACTTTGAAAAAACTATCCATTTAAATGGACACCCAAAGGTTTTCAACAGTTTATTTTTATAAAAAAGAGGGAGAAAATGTTGAATATTTTATGAAATGAAGATGAGGATTGACTGTAACTACAAATAATGTTTCATGTGTATGAAATAGTTACTGAGCATCTTATGAACAAAAGCATGCTGAATCTGAAAGAACTGAATAGAGTTTTAAGCTTCTATCTTGAACATCCTGGTAGTCCTGCAGAATAGTCCATTTCCAGTGAAAAGAATCAACCTTGCTAACCTATAACCCCTTCAGAAGTCCTAAATTCACCCCAGTTCAGGCCCAAATACCCTCTTTCCGATGGCAAATTTCACCTATATAAGAATATGTATAAGAACAAAGGACAAGACATGCTATGGGTTTAATCATCAATGTATAAGTTTTGTTTGCCTTCTCAAAGTCTTTTGCACCCCCAGAATATGTACCATATGAGATTGGGGATGGCAACATTTGCAAACTCAGTCTTCATCTCAGACAAGTAAGTTTTATAAAACATTCTGTGTGAAACTTGAGAAACTAGAAATTTTTTCCCTAAAGTTGTCCATGACTGTTTATTTCTTAGAAAGTCTCTGAGGTTTGAAGACCACTGTGATGGATATTTAAACAATTAGCCAGAATGAACAGCTGTGCTGGCCCCTTTGGCTTTACATGTAAACAGCCAGGGAAGCCAGCCAGCATGGTAAAAGGTTACATGCAAAGTGTGCCTTCCATCTTTTTGAGGGAAAGATACACATCTTTATTGGTGATATATAAACAGTTTTAACTGCAAGAAAATAGCATAATCAAAAGTCAAGTCTAACGAAGTATAAAATACACTTTTGTATATTGAATTTTAGAAATATGATCCTTCAAAAACATGCCTATAAAAATATCTAATTAGGTAGTCTAGTGAATTTTAGTTCATTTTGTTTTATAAAGTTATGAGGATTTTGGTAATTACACATTAGAATGTCATTTTAAAATAACATACTTATTCATAAATGTGTATAGTAATACAAAAAGTGTATTTTCTGAATAAAATTCAGTTTATTAGAATTCTTATTATTGTATGTGGTTATTTACAAAGACTTCCAATGAGCAACCTTACAAACTAAAATTTTCCTAAATAAGATAAACAGGATAAACAACATATTTTACCTTTATACTGTAAAATCAGAAATTACATTTTTATGTTGTTTTAAACTAAGCTTGATGCTTGCCTCTCAACAATCAATAGGATAGCCAAGTTTTCTATTGTGTGGTTTCATTTTTAGAATTTCTCTTTTTGAGTTACACCCATGTCTGACATAGTGATTTTTGACAAAACATTTTTATTGTTACTATTGAGTCCAAATTTAAATTACATACTACTGAAAGGAAACCATTTAGATGATATCACTGAACTTAATAAAAAAAAATTGAGTAAAAAATAGAATAGGGTTTCCATCATAACACATAAACACTAGAACTTTGTTTCTCAAGGGAGTTTCTCTCAAACCTCCTCCTGGGCATGGATTCCTGCCAGCTGGGAATCTGCTATTGATCAAGCATCCTGAGCAATCCTGAAGCACACTCAAGTGTGAGAACTGGTACTCTAGAGCAACATCACTTAACCGTGGATGATCCATAATGAGAAGAAGCAATTCTAGTTCTTGGTGGAAGAGTATAAATCATAAAATGATTTGTCCAAGAGATACATCCCTTTCCTTACATCTGGATTGTAGTAACCTAATTCAAAATTCGTTGTCCTGTTTGTTACACTTCAGAAGTTTTATCCTCGTTACTTTTTTATTTATTTAAAAAAAATTTTTTTGATGTTTATTTTTGAGAGGAAGAGAACGAACACGAGCAGGGGAGGGGCAGAGAGAGAGAGGGAGACACCGAATCTGAAGCAGGCTCCAGGCTCTGAGTCATTAGCACAGAGCCCCGATGCAGGACTCAAACCCATGAGCCGTGAGATCATGACCTGAGCCAAAGTCAGACACTTAACCAACTGAATCACTCAGGCGCCTCTATCCTCATTACTTTACAAAATACCGAATATGTTACCACTTCTTACAAATAGCCCTGCAATTACACACAGAATATTTATAAATTGTGTTAACCTAAATTGCCATAAAGTGTTGAATTAACTACTGCAAATCATCTGTTTGGTAACTTTTAAATATAGATCCCTAGTGATGTGCTAAATAACAAATTTGAATATTTAGTTAATTCAATAAAATGGAACCAGTACAACCTCTGGTTTCACAAATGAAGTGATTCAAAATGAGTGTGTCAGCTTTAATGGGGCCCTTGCACACTGCAGTAGGATGAATAGCACATTTTTTTCCCTTGCATTCTTCCTAAAACAAAGGCTGTTTCTAAACTCACTCCTCCCACAAACTTTCATGCACAAAGCTTATGTGCCAGTGACACAAGAAGCTCATTTTGATTGTAATGGGCCATACCCTTGTCTAGTACATCATTTGTGAAACTGAAGTTGGCTATTATAATGCAGCAGGTATGTAAATAACATTTGTAAGTGATCTCTATAAAATGGATTCCTTCTTTCCCTTTTCATTATAAGAGGAAACTTTATTTCAGAGTAGAAAGTGCATTGTCTGAACTCATCAACACCCTCTCTATCCCTCCCCTCCCCAATTTGTTGCAGACCAGGATGAAAGAGCAGCTGAGCTCAGCAGGGAGCAGAATGAGAAAACCATCCGGAGCACGCAGACTGCGCTCCGCAATTTCCGCGAGTTCCTCATCTCCAAGTATCCTTCTGAAACAAGAGAGATTTATGTCATCCCTTGCAAGGAGTTGGATGCCTACCTGGCCTCTTTCTTTGTGGATGCCAGGCAGAAGGATGGGTCCGAGTATGAACCCAACAGCTTGGCCAATTACCAGTGTGGACTTGAACGGTACCTAAAAGAACACAGGTATGGCTACAGTATTACGAGGGATAAGGAATTCAAGCGTTCCCAAGAGGCCCTGAAACAGAAGCAGATTGAACTCCGCTGCAAAGGAAAAGGAAATAAGCCACACAAGTCCATGAAGCTCACCTTTGCTGATGAGCTCATTCTGCGGAAAAGAGGACTGCTGAGCCGTTATAATCCTGAGGGTCTTCTCAACCTTGTGTGGCTCAACAACACAAAAGCTTTTGGGCACTGCACAGGATTCCATGGATCTACCTTGAAGTGGGGTGATATCCGGCTCCGGGTAACAGAAACGGGGCTGGAGTACTTAGAGTGGATGGGTCAAGACACTGGTGACCTGAATGCCAAAACCAAGAGAGGGGGGACGGACTCTCGTGTGTATGCCACCCAGCATGCCCCACAGACCTGCCCCGTACAGGACTATAAGGAGTATGCCCAGCGGCGACCTCCTGCCATGCGCTACGAGGATGCTCCTTTCTACCTGTCCATCAAGCCAGTGGTGAACTTGGCAGCTCTGCATTGGTATAACTGCCAAGCCCTCGGCAAGAACAAGCTGGCCAAGATGGTGAAGACCATGTGTGAGAAGGGCAACATCCCCGGCAGGAAGACCAATTTCAGCGTGTATCAGAGCTGCAGCACCTTGTCTGAGGCCCAGAGCAACCAGCTGGTGCTTATCTGTAACAATCTGAGCCAGCAGGCCGCACAGTCAGTGGCCGGGCACTCCAACAGTGGCAATTTCATCGTCTCTGCCTCTTATGACTCTTCCTCAGACACTGCTTGACCAGGTGTCCTGAGCAAGACCCCAGCTTGGTTACTGTGTCCAGAGAAACTGTGGTTATACACTGCTTCTCGTTTCCTTTCCTCGGCCCTCAGTGTTAACTTTATAAAAATATAAATATATAATATATTTTTCTTTTTACAAATAAGCCAATGGAGATAGTTTAGTATTGCTAACATAGTATTTATAGGCTTAACACAAATGTACTTGTGGGTGATTAAATGTAATTACTGTTATAGCCGTTACAAAACCATAGTGGTTCTCAGGCAATACAAAGTAGAGAAGGAATTCCGTTTTTTAAAAAACTGTCAGAAAAGTAACTGAAAGTCGTCCTAGACACGTGTGTCCTCAACGCCTGCTTTTCCTTCCCACCCCACCTCTCATTTTGAGTCTAGTTAATAAATGGCTTTATTTTTTTAAGTTTTAAAATTTTATATTAATCAGGAGGAAACAATACTAGCTCTGCTGCTTACACAGAATTATATTCAGTCAGATCCAGAATATGAGAGTGTTGACATAAGCTCTACAAATTATTTACATATTTTTTTTAGCTGAATTAGAATTTTAGCTCCTGTGCCTCTTTTTTGTAATGTCTGAAAATCTAGATGTTTAGGTAACATCTTTTCTTTTGAGGGCAATAAAGGTGCCATTCTTTTTGAAAGATATATAATTTTTAAATAATATGCAAAGTCCAATATTGTGGCAAAAAAGACTGTTAACAGCTCTTTACTGTTGTGCTTGAACCTGGATAGATTTTTTTTGTTCCCTAAGAAATCAGTTTAAATGAAGTGTGATTTTCAGATTTACAAAACTACCAAAGCTTTCAAAATGTTCCCAAGCATTAGACTGTATATCAAACATAAAGAGAAGGTAGAGAATGGGAGAGTCTTATTAAAAATCTGGAAGCGCTAGTCAGGACAACAAAAGAGGACTACTCTTCAAAGCCCAAACCCCCTGAATTATTTATTTATAAGCATTAAACTTCAGTCTCTTTTCCCTAGGAGATTACTTAACTCTGTAGTTGAGATCAAAAGAATATTGACACTCATTTTGGGTAACAACATTTTGTTAAAGGATTTAGCTGAATTCAAAGCATTCTTGAAAATGTGCAGTTTCTAGTAAATATAAATTTATCTGTGATACCCTGCAATTATAATAATAATAATTTTGGTTAAACAACTCTTTGTGGTGGTTTTCCCAAGGTCTTTATTTTCAAGTCTTAAAGCCTGTGGTGTATTTTTAGTTAAGATCCTTCAATAACAACATAAATTTAGACATTAGGGTGACAATGAAGTTGAGCTTGGTTCCTGTCCTGTATAATCATTAACACATAGGAAATCTGAATCTTAATTGCTTTGTTGGATTCTGTTGGGAAGTATTTGTTCTTTAAGGCAACCTCTTAATTCACATTAGCTAGAAGGGTCGGTGGTATTTTATGTGTTAACTTATTGTACAACGAGTTCAGGTTTCATTTTTATATGCCTTCCTAAATCATCACAAAAGCTGAGGTTTCCCTTGGCTTGGTAGCTTTTTTCAACACCAAGTCATAAACACATAAAGACTCATTCCTCTGTATGGTGACCTTTCCTTTGGTTCACGAGTAGAAAGTCTTCTGTGGACCTTTTGTGGTGGAATCAACTTCATTTCGTGACTTTTCCTCCATAGAGAGGCATCCAGAAGTAAGAAAGGGTGGAAGATATCTTGCTTTATTTTTTTTTTTTTGTGTTAATGATGGCAGCCACCATTTTTTAACTAGTGTGTATGGCAGCTCTGTGTCAAGTGACTTACATGGATCATTTATATAATAGTTACTAACTGTGTGAAAATTAGAAAATTTAGGTAAGCATAAAGAGCACAAACACTCATAAATCTGCTGGCCCAAATAACCACTGTTAATATTTTAGTAAATATTTCTTTAGACATTTCAATACATACATATTTATTTCTGTACACATCTTTCATCCTTTCAATCCTTGAAAAGCTTAGTTATCTTCATTTTATGTTGAGATCAAGACAAATCAGTTATTGTTAAGGAAATGGTACTGTCTTCTGACTTGAGTTTTTTCTGTTTATCTTCCTTAGTTCCAACTCAGAGTCAGTTTCCAGTGATTTGAGCCAGAAATGGGGACACAGTGTTTTCCCATCTCTCAAGGCTATCTGATTAGAAGGAATGCTGAGTGACCTTTCATGATGGCACACTGTGTCCCCTGGTGCCCCCTCTTCTGTTCATTTTGAGCCACAGGGCCTCTTTCTCCCAGTTCCCTTTACAAAACTTTCCTTATTCTATAACCTTGTTTGTAAGTGAACAGGACAGCCTACTATAAAAGAACTCTTAAAAAAAATTTTTTTTTAATGTTTGTTTATTTTTGAGAGAGAGAGTATGAGCGGGGGAGGGGCAGAGTGAGAGGGAGACAAAGAATCTGAAACAGGCTCCAGGCTCTAAGCTGTCAGCACAGACCCTGACCTGGGGCTTGAACTCAAGAACTGCAAAATCATGACCTGAGCCAAAGTCAGAAGCTTAACCAACTAAGCCACCTAGGTGCCAATAAGGCTGTTCTTAATGGGTTACCTCTCGTTTAAAAAAAAAAAAAAAAAGTTTTTGTGAAACACTTAAAATGTGTGCATTTTATTTTTGCATTGACATACTTTTAAAAATTCTTAATATGTTTTTGACAGCAAAGTAAGTTTGTCATGAGGAAGAAGGGCAGCGAGGATGTACTGAGAAAGCAGAATTAGGGAATTTTGCATTCCTATTTGTGTTGATTAAGGCACTACAATGAAAATCTCTCCTATTTCATTCTATTGCATTTTCATTCAGAAGAACACAAATTGAGAATGTAAATTACTTTTTTATTTATTTTTATTTTGCTTTGATAACTCAAACCAAATAGGAACATTGTGACATTTAGATTTAGAAAGCTTTTCTGAAGAATGGCTTGGTAGAAGTTTAGCTGAATTATAGTACCTCTTTGCATTAATGAAATTATGAAAAATTATCTGCAACTACCTCTAAATTTTGTGTTTTTATATAAACAATACTGAAGACATGCTATTGCCAGATGCCATTTTCATTATTTGTTACTTTAACTTAAAAGAAGTTATGTTCATACTGTGGCACTGGTACATGCCAAAATATCATTCATGTGCTTTCGTGAAAATTCAGCAGTCCAGCAGGTGTTCACTACAACTGAATGTGCTGCCTTTCCAGTCAATCCTGTGATTCATACAAAAACCATAAAACCATATTTGCAAGGTTTACATTTTTAAGTCAGTGTAATGTCACGTAAGGAATTCTCCAGTGCTCCTCACATGACTCTGAAAGTTTTGCACTGTCTACAACAAAAGTGTCAAGCCCATCTGTCAGCATTTGAGGGGAGATAGCTGCAAAATTCAGTCTTTCTTCTATATTCATGTGAGTGACTGTTGAAAACCTTGGATGGTAGCAATTGTTTTTAAAACCATAATATCTGAAAAGGTTAGACAAATTCAGGATGTTAATCCAACAGAGCTTATTCTTAAAATTCCATTTATTCTCCGAGTTAGTAGGGGTGGTCTGAATATGGTTTGTAATACGCCAGCTACTTAAAATATTTTTCTAGATCTTTTCCCTGTGTTAAATTTTCCCTATGTCAATTCACTTTCCCCTGTGTTAAATCACTTCCCAGAGCAGTAAACAATAGTCTGAAAATTTTCTAGAGTAGATCAGGTCTCTTTGGTTTTTCATTTAGATCATTGTTAGCTGAAACTTTCATCACATTAATTGGTCTCAGTCATATGGCTTAGCTTTTAAGATGTCATGACATCAAATAACTTTCACTGAGAGAGAATTTACAGCCATATCAACAGATATTTGAACACCTATTGTCCAGACACTGGGAGGGGTACAAAGATGTGTAAAACAGTCCCTACCCTCAAAGAATTTATAAAAGATACTGTAATAAAAGTTTCATTTCATTTTTGAGAGCTCACCAAAAAAGTCTCTGCCGATAACTCTTTTTGCATCATTTCCCGAATTTGTACTCATACAGTTTGTCTATTATT